AAATCAAATGTCTACATTTGAATGTATTACAATATACATTTGTTTTATATTTAAAATTAATATAAATTATAATAGATATTATTATATATTATTATTATTATATTAGATATTATTATAGATAAATTACAATAGATGATATTTACACTACGTGAAAATAGCAGTATTTTCTGCTATTTATGCTACTTGAAGGCACAATATGTACGTTTTTATTAAAATATCAAAAAATCACTAGAACAGTGTTATATATGTTGCTGACTTGTGTACTTACATTATCCCAAATGTTTTGAAGAATGTTTAAATCCAGAGAAATAAGCAATTTTAACTAGTGACACGGACCGTGTCTATAGTGTCATTGTGTCGCCTGCTAATGACGTCATAACCCCTCGATTTACGGTTTTGTTTTGTAGAAAACAAGGCGAGTTTGAATTCTGGTTGATCGCGTCAAAAAGACTGCGATACATGCTTTATCATCTACGCCACTGGAGCTGATGTTTACCAAGCTTTTGTAGTGGTCACTACTAGGTGAATGCAATATTGCCTAATTGTCAGTGAACTACGGCTCTGTGTAGTAAATGCCGCTCCATCTGAAAGCAAGTGATGGCGATTTACTACCAATCACGGAACCGGCTTTACTGACGAGATGCGCATGACAATTGCACAGCCCTAGTGACTACCCAAATCACACGTTGGTGGGCGGAGTTAGTGTAAATAGCCCCTGCCAACAAGGTGGGTTATTTGCACTGTGTAAATAGACACTCCAGTCTTTATGGGCGTTATGAATGGGGAATCTTTTGCTCATTTGGATTTGACAGTTGCTTTGGACATCGAATGCAAAGAATACAATGAAAACATGTGTTTAAAGTTTTTATTTTTTTGCTAGGAGTGTTTTGGCAATTGTTAGGTAGATACATTTTGGTTCAACAAGCCAGATGCTTTAATGTCCAATCAAGATGTGTGATGTGTTATGTGCCAAATATGTTAAATTTAAGGTCTGGGGTTAATTAATCATATCTCTTTTGTGTTGAGGTCCACTCTGCAACCAAATGTCCAATTGCCATGCAAATTATTCTTGTTAGCCCTTGAATCTCTCTTCTCCCTAATTGTTAAACGCGGATGAAAACAAACAACAGCACTGTCCAAGAAAAAAAGGGGGGGCAGGGTAATAACGTTTTCCTCAAAACCCAGATCTGGAGGCATTTCAGCATGGCAGACTGTGAGATCAGGCCACTGTAGGGTTGGCAGTTTCTCGCAGAACTGTAAGGACATGATTTTGATTCTTGGGATGGCTCAAGTGTTCGTGACAAATCCCGATTGTGCATCTCGCCACTGTAAATCTGTGATCAGAGTGACTGGGCAGCTGGCTGCATTTGGATGCAGTGAAAGGAAAATGAAATTCAATTTAAATGAATGTTAATACATCACATATTTGGCTTTTGGATTAAAAGCACTGTTTTTGCTACACTGACTTGAGGAGAGCTGTGTTATAAATGTATATAATTTATGGAATAATAATTTATTTTGATGTATTTATTTATTTTGGACAGGGCCTCTATGTATGTCGGTAACACTTTATTTTAAGGTGTCCTTGTTACACGTTACATGTACTTACTATTATAATAACAAAGTATGAATAATTACATGCAAGTAACCCTAAGCCAAACCCTAACCCTAATAATATTACTGAGTACTTAGGCCTAAATGTATAATTACACTGTAACAAGGAACCCTTAAAATAAAGTGCATAAAATTTTCTTTAAAGAAATTTTCAGCAAGGATGCATTAATTTGAAAAGACATTAATAATTACAAAATGATTTTCAAATAAATTATATCATAAACACTATTGTTTGTTTTTTCGACATAATAAAAAGAAATCAAATCGACATTTATTTCTATAGCACGGTTAAAAAAACACAGATGAATAAATTACATTTTAAAATATAGTTAAATAAAAAATATTTTAAATTGTAGTAATATTTCACAATATTATAGTTTCTACTGTATTTTTGATCAAATAAATGTAGCCTTGCTGAGCATAGAAAACCTTTTTCAAAAATATTAAAGATCTGACTGAATAATCCTGACTAAATTGTTTCTCACCGGTCATTTTTAATGAATAGATGAATATTAATGCAGCATCAACGGTTTTTAAATCCGCTCTTGGTGTCACATTGTAAAGCCTCTTGTTTCTGCTTCACTGCTTACTGACCAACACACTGTCAGTCACGCTGAGACAGAGGTTATGCTGGGTCTTCTGCTGTCAAGAGAACATCACAGATCTGTATTGATCTGCAGACATATTTCTGATTTGACGCGGTATCCAGTAGGGAGGCATTTTAATGAAGAGACTGTAAACATAAGAACTCCACGAGAGGCGTGTGTGTGTGTGTTCATGCATTCACTTGAGAGAGAAAGAGAGCTCAGGGAGGCATATGTGAGACCATTGTTAGCCTTTCTAACCTCTCAAGAAACTGAGTTGTCATGGCAACAGAATATAGATGGTGTGTGTGTGGATGCAGACAGTGGGAGGGAGGCTGTACCAGTCAAATGTAATGACTCACTAACATACGCTAGGTATTAACCCTATAAAGCCTACTGCATCATATTTGATACACACATTTTTAAGGCCTCTAAATGAGCAGCATGATCACAACTTGCAGGAAAACCGGTTGTGCACAATCTACTACATGCATTCTGTCGTCTGATTGATAGTTTCTACATTTTCGAAAGTAAAAGGCCTTTTATTATAAATCTAAAAACATCCACTTTCAGGTTGTGCTATATGTGTCTTTTTGCTGTGAAATGTTTTTGGCCTGCTGGATGTGCACACTTTGATTTTAATCTTTGTGAAATGTTTACTCATTTTTTTTAAATGTAAGAGTAACTTTTAAATTGTTAGTAATATTTCAAAATAAACACTTGCTGGACTGAAGTAACTCTTGTTTATTTGATTTGATTTGATACTGTACATCATACATAATTTTTTAGAAAAATCATGTCAGAATGTGAGTATCATATGGCAAATCAGGTTTTTAAGGAACATTTGTCTCAGTCTTTCAGTCATCATTGTACTGCAGTGCATTGTGTTATATGTTCCCCCCTCAATAAAAAAACAGTATTTAAACATCATCTTACTATCTTACTGAGACATATTATTGGGATATATAGAGCGACAACTGATATTTATATATTATGTAAGTATTACGCAAGTAATTTTATGTAAGTAGTCTGCTGTACTGTTTTAAAGATCTCATTGATTTACATTACAAGTTATCAGAATTTCATCTCATTTTTTGGACATATAAATAACATCTGCAATAAATTAAATATTTTGGTATAAAATTTTAAATAAAATTGAGGTGTTTTCTCTCCAAGTATGAGCTCCATATTCTCAGTATATCATGCTAAATGTGCCATAAAAGCCTTATTTTTTGTTTTATTGTATTGTGTTGTATTTCCCTGTCCTGTCCTGTACTGTCCTTGTTCAAGAAGCAGGGTTAGATTTAATTTGGCTTGACTGTTGGAGGTTTTTCTTAGTGTTCTATGTGTTTGTGTGTTTTGTAGGGCTCTTTCCCAGGCAACCTGCAGCTGGTGCTGGTACTGAGACCCACAGCACTCTTCCAGCGGACAATCTCAGACATCTTTTTTAAGTTAAACAAGGATGAGTTTAAAATGAAGGTGCCGGTAAGCACACACACAAGGCACAAACTCCCACACTGAGGCATGTGGTTAATGAAGAGCGTAATGAGATGTATAGTACACTGACATAAGAGAAGTGCTCTACATTATGTACTGCATGTAGGTGATCATGCTCAGCTCTGTGACTGAGCTCCACAGTTACATCGACCGCACACAGCTCACTCAGGAACTGGGCGGCACACAGGAGTACTGCCACGAGAAATGGATTTCACACCGCACCGTGAGTACACACCTGTTTTTAACCATGGTAATTAGGGGTGGACCACAGAAATGAAAAGTGGGCACACGATTGGTTTGATGTGTAAAGCACACAGCGAATGAATAAACATACTGAGATACTGAGTGATGTATGGTTACTCCTTAATATGGCCTAAGTCTAGGTTTAGGATTAGGGTTAGGGTTAATACCCAGTTATTATAATAAAGGAATTGTACAGACCAGGAGTTTGGGGTCGGTAAGACTTTTGTTTTGTTTTGTTTTTGAATGTTTTTGAAAGGTCACCAAGTTTGCATTTATTTAAAAAAGAAATGCAGTAATGTTTAAATAATATATAAATAATATATTTTTTTTATCGGTTTTAAAATGTAATTTATTCCTGTGATGCAAAGCTGAATTTTCAGCATCATTAGTCCAGTCTTCCTTGTCACTTGATCCTTCAGAAATCATTCTAATATGCTATATTGCCTCTCAGGAAACATTTATTATTATCAATGTTGACAGTTTTGCTGCTTAATATTTTTTTGTGGAAACCATGATACATTTTTTCAGGATTCTTTGAACAGAAAGTTCAAACAGGTTTTATTTGAAAAATATTTTGTAACATTTTAAATTATTAAAAATATTAAAAAATATTATTTAATTGATCTATTTAATGCATCCTTTAAGTTTTTGCTGTATTAATTTCTTTCAAATATTATTGACCCCAAACTTTTGAATGGTAGCGCAAATATGGTAATATGGCTTCGATTCATTAAATATATTTTTATTGGATCATAGTTAAAAAGCATAGTTAATATTGTCCCACGTTTTGTCCGATTCATCACTCACAAAATGGAAGGAGAAGTTGCATTATGGGATATACTCATATGCATATGCAGTATGCCACCAGTGAATTCTGTTCATTTTTAAAATGTAGTTACTTCGTGAAAGTGGAAATGTTTAAAATACTATATTCATACTGAATACTTAATAGTATGATAGAATGCTATAAAATGCCAAACATATCTTAAATCTTGGTGCTTCATCATTATAATGTGGTATTAAACAAGCAAGCCTTCCAGAAGGATGATAGTCTTCACCTCAAGCAAATGAATTGCCTTTCTTCTCATTCCATTTGTAGACTTGCTTTTAAAGGGGTCATATGATGCTATTTTAAAGATCATTATTTTGTGTATTTGGTGTAACAGAATATGTTGACATGCTTTAATGTTCAAAAAACACCATCTACTTTCGGAAGGCCAAATAAAGTGCTTTTGCTTTCGCACTTATACACAGCGTCTCCCTGACATAGCTACATCAACACTACTGCGTTCCTGAAACCACGCCTTCTTTCTTTATGTGCACATTTGGGCTGCATTATGTTAATATTTCCACATAGTGACGTAGATATGTGGGGGCGTGTTAAAACAAGGGGTTTTAGGAAGGCGTGGTTGACTCTTAACTTTTATAAAGAATATCTCTTTGGATTTGAGACTTTAGTCTTTGCAACTTTACAGATCTTCTTTATGCACCAAGAGCTTGTAACACTCCAAAGAGAAAGGAAAACTTGAAATCGCATCATATGACCCCTTTTAAGTAATCACAAATTGATTTGTCTGTATTGATCTGTGACTGCTGTATTTTAAGTACAGCACACTTGTTTGCAGTGCATGTGGATGTTTTTTATTTGTTGCGCACTCAGCCATTAGTGTGATTGTGTTTGGGTTTCTTGCTATTGTGTGATTGGTTTGGTGTATGTGTCTCTTGGTTTGTGTTGTGCCTGTAGGCCATTGAAGGTTTTGCTCTGATGGTGAAGAAAACAGCACAGACTCTCCAGTTTTTTGGGACTGAGCTGGCAGAGACAGAGCTGCCCAATGACGTTGAGGCCACGTCCAACCTTCTAACCGTCCACACGGATAAGAAGGACAAAATGAAGGTCAGAAAACCCAGTAAAACTTCATTTCAGCATACTAGACAATAATTTACTAGATTGTACATTATCCTGCTAAAATACAGCTACTTAGCAAATAAGTAAATAAATGGACATAAAATATTGATTTGAGTGAGTTAAAATTATTATAGTTATTATTGTTGGTGTATTTATTTTTACAATTTTTTTAATTAATAATAATATAAGAAGAAAAAGAATGCAAAATAATACTTGAAGTAGACTGATTGCTGTTAGAGCAATATACAGTATACTGGTGAAAAGTTTGGAATAAATACAGTGGGGGAGGGATTTTGTTCTTGCATTTGATCAAATATTATTTGATCAAACAAAAGCAGTAATTGTAAAATATTACAACTTAAAATAACAGTTTTATTTTAACTTTTTTTTATATATAATGTACTCCTGTGACGTCAAAGCTGAATTTTCAGCAGCCATTACTCTTTAGTGTCACATGATCCTTCAAAAATCATTCTAATTTGTTGATGTTCACAATTATTAAAATTGGTTCTTATTATCAGTTATGAAAAGTATTTGCTGCTTAATACTATTTGTGGAAACCATACATTTTTTCAGGAATCTTTGACAAATAAAACGGTCTAAAGAACAACTTTTTTAATAGAAATATTTTTTAACATTATAAATCTCTTTACTGACACTTTTAATCAATTGAATTTAAAGGAGTAAAATACATTTTAAAATTATATTAAAAGAGAAAATCTTTTAAATTGTAATATTTCACAATATTAGTGTTTTCACTGTAAAAAAAAAATCGTAATTATATACAATAATGTAAAATAATTATATACAATATACATATATTTTACACAGTTTAGATCAGGGTTGGAACTGAACTCTGCAGGAAGGTAGATCTCCAGGAACAGGGTTGGGCACCCCTGGTTTAGATGATATATACGAAAAAAAAAAGTCAGGTGTGTCATAAAGATTATATAATGTACTATGTTTCAGTATAAGGCCTAGTCCTTAATAAGGGGTCCAGTAAGATTGTAAATAATTTAACGTGAATTATTAACATGGCTATAAACTATAAACAAACCTTAAAGGGTTAGTTCACCCAAAAATTCTGTCATTAATTACTCACCCTCATGTCATTCCAAACCCGTAAGACCTCCGTTCGTCTTCGGAACACAAATTAAGATATATTTGATGAATTCTGAGAGCTCTATGACCCTCCCATAACATAGCAAGAAGATCGGTAAAATAATCCATGTGATATCAGGGGTTCAACCGTAATTTTACGAAGCTACAAGGATACTTTTTGTGCGCAAAAGAAAAAAAAATAACGGTGCGGCTGACACAGAACAGCATACACTGTTTGCGTTCAGTGGATATTCTCCAAAATGGGCTAGGGTGACGCGGAGGAGATGATTTTGAATAAAGTCGTTATTTTTGTTTTCTTTTGCTTACAAAAAGTATCCTCGCAGCTTCGTAAAATTACAGTTGAACCCCTGATATCACATGGATTATTTTACCGATCTTCTTGCTATGTTATGGGAGGGTCATAGAGCTCTCAGAATTCATCAAATATATCTTAATTTGTGTTCCGAAGATGAACGAAGGTCTTACGGGTTTGGAACGACATGAGGGTGAGTAATTAATGACAGAATTTTTGGGTGAACTAACTCTCTTAAGTTTACATAATTCATGTTCATCATTCGCACTGAATAGTAGTTTATTTCATGTCGCTCTGTGTGTGTGTGCGCATGTGTGTGTGTGTGTGTGTGTGCGCGTGCAGGAGGACTTGAGGATCGCTCTCTGTCAGGGATCACGTTTGCTGGATAGCATCAATGAGCCGCTGGTGAAAGATCCAGATTACACCATGAACCAGGATGAACTGGAGAACCTGGCTACTGTTCAGAGGTGTGTGTGTGTGTGGGTGAGACCATCTACCGTGCTGGAATGTGAAAATGAGAGACCAGACATTTACAGTACAGCAGCAGACTGTTGCGTGTCCTTGTTCGGTTTCTGCCCTTTATTAAGCTGTTCAGGGCAGCTGTGTTTTTGCATGCACAACAAGATGACTCACCTGGTCAAGATTATACAGCAAATCTACACACACACACACACACACACACACACACACACACACA